AGTCGGCGACACCATGAAACCCGGCGTACAAACCACTCGGCCACGGAGGTCGTCAAGGTCAATATAAGACGTAAATAAGAATAAATATGGCTCATAATTATCAAGCGACACACTGGCTGTTTCATTCCTCATCTCCCGTCACTAGGATCCAAATCGCTTACAAACTACTTTCTAACTTCTAACAAACAAAAATTATATAGGATAGTTAAAACTAAAAATACTGGCCAACATGCAATGTCCCTGACATTAGCCATCGAAAGAGACGCCCTATATATGTGCGCTTTTCACAACATTTCCATTGAGATTGACAGCTGTAAGAGGGGGAAAAGAATTTGTGAATAATGAATGAAACGAACGGTCTGAAATCGAACTAAAGGTGAATTTATAAAGACCATAATAAACCTGGGATCAACATAGGTACAGTATTGACTGTACTTCACTTTGTTAACCAGTTGAACCTCAAGTTAATCATTGGGTTACCACAAAGTGTTATACATAATTATATTTCTATTTTTAACCAATTAACTTCTAGATTTTTATATCGAAAGAAAATTTTACTAGAAAACTCTCACGTGGACAGGCAGCAGACGGGACTCGAATCCACACCCTTCGCCATCCGGGCGAACGCACTGACCATTATGCTACCGCGGCCCTGATGGCCGTGTCGAATTTTCTCTAGTATTTTGTAGGTTGCATCGTGTACCTTACAAAAAAAAGGATCACTTTGTTGTCATTTTTCAATTTTGTCCGTCTGCCAAGACCCATTATCTCGGGAACGCATGGCGATATTAGCTGAAATTTAAACCTTCAAGAAAACGAAACTTTCAAGTTAACGTAAAAAATAGATACAGCCGTTTATGTTGCGTACCTACAAATTTATACGGAACCCTCGGTGGGCGAGTCCGACATGCACTTGTCCGCTTTTATAACTTTTTTTTATTTATTTATTTAAAAACACACAGTTATTTTTACAGGGATAATCCTAATGCGATAGTGTAGTATCAAAATTGAAATAGGCTAGTTGACTCATGTCGATTGTATTAATTAAATGTTTATTTCTTAAAGTATTTGGTCTAAGGAACCTAAATATATCGATTTCACTTCATAAAAGCAGAAGTTTGCTGTAGAAATTTAATTTAAAAAAATATTTTTTAGTCGATACTTTTTAAACACTAAAAACGCTGTGCGCCACATACGCCATGATTGTGACGTCTCTATTAGTAAACAATTAAATGCCATTCATACATAACTTTAAAACTTGTATTATTAAAACTGATAATAAATGAAGAGACTTAATTGTACATTACGATACGCGTGACCTAAGTTGCTTATTACTGCACGGCGTGAAGTTAGCGCCCGTGCAGTAATAGGCAACTTAGGACACGCGTATCGTAATGTACTATTATAGCAAGTGTGACATAAACCCGAGGGATGCGATTAGTGTTTTGAAAGTAAAATTCATGTATTGCAATCACAAAGAATTGCAATACAGACTGCAAGTCAAACTCTGAATAGAAAGAATTCCGGTTCAGATTACCATTTTGAAAGTATATTTCAAAAGGAAAAAATCAAATATCATTACAACAAAATAACCTAACCTATCGCTAATTTGTCATTTGTTTGCTGTGAGTTTTTAAGCTCCAAATGACATTTAAATGTGTTTCCTTTTATTTTTTCTACATGAGTGAAGCTGGTCAATTCATTTACACACCGTGCAGAAATAGGCAACTTGGTCACGGAAAAGCGGGTACTTAATTCCATTATATGTAATTGAATTTCGGGGTAATTTGTAGGGGGGGTGGAGGGGGGGCTCCCCCCGACCCCCCCGCCATAAACGATTTTTGGCGGAAATGCAGTTTTTTTTTTTTTTACCTAACCTAAAAATTCATTAAATCTGTTAAATGTAGTGGAATTTCAGGGGGATAGGTATTAGGGAAGACCCCTCAGAGGGAAGGGTAAATCCCCCTCCCCCCTCCCGGCGTTTTTTTACAGAAATGATAATTATAAAAAATTAGAGGGGTTTTATAGGTAAAATTGTACTTCCAGGGCCTAGAGATGATATTTGATTTTTTTGTAGAAAAAGTCTCTATTAACGAATTTTTCTTTCTGGCGCTTCGCCGGCCGCTGCCGCGGCACGCTCGCTTCGCTCGCTCGGCTCGCGCGTTAAGGTCACAACACTAACCTAACCTAACCTAGTGTGAAGTATCACCACACAAGCGGCTCATTAGAGTCCAAAACTCGCACTACACTCGACTCTTCAGGCGAAGGGCCAGCAGAACTCGAGGTCGAAGGCTTTGAGGATGCCATGGTAGTCAGACGACGTTAATATCAACAGGAGTACGAAAAAGCTCTCAACTGCGACGAACACAAACACTGACTGACAGATCTCATTAATGGCGGTAAATTGTCACATTTTGACAATAGTACCAACATAATAAACTTATATTTACCATAGACAACGAGAAACATGTTATTTTTGCATAAAAAAATGGCAGCACTGATCAAAATTGCTGTCAAAGTTGACTCATAACCTACAAAAATATTAATTTTCAATAATTTTTTTTTCGAGTTCTATTCGTTTCCGCCTAAAAAGATTTCGTGTACGTGTTTTTGATAGTTAACACTTTGCGTGACAAAAATTTCAGCTTGCAACTCAATTACATATAATGGAAAGCTGAGCCGAAAAGCGTGCGTAAAGTGCGGGTTTAGGTCACACTGTGCTATAAAATATTATTCAACGAGTACTTACATCAAAGTGATCTTCGCAAAAATAAATTTTACTATGAGTCGATAAAATTGCAGGATCACTTTGAGCAAGTTCTAACCAGGTATTGATTTCTTTCGGCACTTTAATCCACAACTTTCCTGGAGTCTTCAAGGATGTGTTTTTACATTCTCGTACAATACAATAATGATAATTACTATATTTTTCGTGGTACCTATTAGAAATCATGTTTTTTTTATTATAAACTCAGATAGGTTATTTTCTTCGTGCTTACGAGTTTTAGTTTACTACCGTCAACGTCATAGCATAGATAATAATCTATAGACTAAAATGGCCGACAGCGTTTTTGTATGTCCATGAAAAGTCTATTTTAAAATTAAAGATTTGTAGCTTTCTGGGTCTCAAAAAATACAATACATTTTTTTCGGTCTAATAGAACATTTATTAACCATTTAAAACCTTTTTCTAAATAGGGTCAACTAGCCTGATAAAATAAACATAATTGTATCAAAAAATAATAATTTCATTTTGTTATATATATAAATTAACATTAGTAATATTTCATAAAATAGCATTTAATTATAATATTGTTATCTTTTATTTCATATTGTCATCTCTATAACAAATTTCCATTAATACCGATGTTTTCAATGACGATGATCTTATAGTAATATAAGTTACTAGCTGACCCAGCGAACTTCGTACCGCCACAAAAAAATTTAATTAAAAAAACATTGTCCAGCGGACAAAATTGTGAATCTAAACCATTCTCAGATCCCCTTGAACACACACAAAAAATTTCATCAAAATCGGTCCAGTCGTTTAAGAGAAGTTCAGTGACATACACACTCACAGAAGAATTATATATATAAAGATTTACGGGATTGTTACCATGTACTTTGGTTTTGGTACGAATGTTTAAAACGACGGTGATATTTTCAATACTTTAACTAATCCCTGTCAAAGTGTATTGTCGTCTTATTCAATTTCTGTCACAATAGTAATTAAATAGTATATTGTTCACTGAGGGGAGAAAGTGACCGATTACCAACGAGGGTGTAGTACCCGAGTCACTCAATGTTCTTTGTTTACACTATACCTACAATAGTAATATTATTTTTAGAATTAAACATCTACATAAAAAATAAAAATATAATAAAAGACAAATTCTTTAATTAAAAATATTAAAATTGTTACCGTTATTAAAACTTAATGTTATACTTTTGCGTGGGAGCTTTTTTTTTAATTTCTGGATTTCACGTGTATATTCGGTATGGTAATAGATTTTCATTGGTATAAAATAATAGCTTATCCAGTACAAATAGGGGTAGCAGAAATGTACCTATATAGTCGATTTTATTCCATCTCCATCACTGATATCGAGACCACGATCAATCCAATCGCGGCAAAGTAATCTTTTTGCGCATTTACCATTGGTCTATCAAGTTTAGAATTTTTCATTCCTACATTGTTACCAATCTGTTTGTGAATCAATTTTGCAAGTTTACTTTCTATTTTGATATTTAATGGTAGACACTCACCATCCTGCCATTTTATGAAGTATTTTTTTTAACACTTATTTAATTCTTACATTTTAAATTGATGATGGGTTATGTTATATTGTGATGAAGAGGATTCGATAGTTGGTAGAGTAGGCCCATCAGAATCCAGGGCCGCGTGGAGATGCAGCCAGGGAGGTGGAATATCTAGGAAAGACAGGTAGAAGAGAGGACAGTTTATTAAAAGTGAGAGGCGAAAGGAAGAGGAGAGGAAACGAAACAGTAAATAAATAAAAGGTATAAAGAAAGGGAGTAAGAAGAGTGTAAGAGATGAGGTTTATCAATCTTGCACGAAATACATTAAATATTAAGTGTCTCACAGACAGACGCCGCCCGCGGCCGTAGCTTGATCAAACCAAAGTGACCGTGTGTGGGGAGATATGTTGGAAGGACATAGCGTAAACCACTACGCTATTAATATATTAAGACTCCTTTCGGTGGCACTCCGAGTGCCGACAGAAGTAAAAACCAAATCTTAAATTCGTACTTAGCAAAGTATAAACCAAAAATAAATAAAAAATCTTTAAAAATTATATGCCTGTCGGATTGGAACTAAGCCTTTGCTCCCAAAAGAGCGTTTTTTGCATTAGGCCAAACCCACGCGACCACGGTGTCGCGAGTTTGTTGGTCTTTACCCATTTCAAAAATGCCCAACGCGCCTTAAGAAATTTTCACTTCAAAAATGTACCCATATAATCAATTACTTCTTGTTGCAGCGCCAGCAGTCGAGCGGGCAGCGTAGATCGCAGCACACGCGACTCTAACACTACACTCAACTCTGACGAAGACAACATAAACGTCGTGGTCAGGTGAGCTTCTGCAGTGATGGAATCTCCTTAGCATTTTGTACCGCCCATCTGCTTTTACTAACATACTCTTCATCGGTATTTTGTTCTATTTTGAATTCTATTTTTTAGCCTGTCAAATGATCTCAAACTCCCCACTGCTATGAAATACATACTAATATTAGGTAGTATAGAAAGTTTGAGTCCCGCAAAGGACATAAGACAGATTTTAAGAAATCATCCTTAAGGGATTGAACGGGGGAGGGGAGAGTGAGGAATTTTGTATAGCAAAACAAATTTAAAATGCAGACGAAGTTGCGGTATCATTGAAATAACACAGAAGGAATACTTGCCATCACACACTATACGGGCTCAGAGGTTGGTGGATTGGTTTACCAACCTAAGCACAGTAAACACACACAATGATAACTGAATTCTTTTATGAAACACCGCCTATATCGGACGTGAAGGATGGATATCAGGGATTCAACGTAAAACATAAAACTTAGGTAAAATGTTAGTTACGTATTTACAACCAAAGAGACAATTACAGGTGCGAAACAAAAGTAAATAACATTTTAGAAAAAAAAAATAACCGCCGGATAAGCCGAAAAGCAGAAAATAATTAAACCTTTTTATCTTTAGTCAAATTAATATCTTAAATAAAATTAAAATTAATATCTCATCTATAATATTAAAAACCCCTTATTATATTAAAACCCTCTTTATCTTTGGTAAAATTAATACTTGGAGTGGGTGCCATGCATGTCTGGTAGATCTGAGTTCCCATTTACTACTTGGGTTGGCATGGCACCGACTCCAAATATTAATTTTACTGAAGATAAAAAGGGTTTGAAGATAATAAGGGGTTTTTGCTAAAAAGTTTTAATTTTTTATAATTTTTTGTGGCTTTAATCTTTACAATATTCAACTCGACATCAAAATCTGTGAGATAACAATCACCCCTATTTCCCCACCCCAAGGGTAGGATTTTAAGGGTAGAAATTTATCTAGGACCATCTTTGAGATATCCTATCAAATAAAAACCAGACAAGTGCGTGTCGTGCCACACGCAGTGTAGGATTCCGTCGATATTTAATTGCTTTTTCTTAATTTTGTTTTTCAATTCAATGGTTTTACGCGATGAAAGCAAGCAAATACTTCATCTAAGGTTTTTTTAATAGGTAAGGTAAAAGAGCATACGACCCATGCTTGTTTGCCAAACGTTTTACTTACATAGAAGAATAAACCTGTATATCCTCGGCAACCAACACGGTAACTCTGCAATGGATAAAAGGACACAGCAACTCAATTGGAAACGATGCAGAGACGAACTTGCTAAGAGAGGAGCAGACTCAAAAGTCCAGAACCTTTTCTGCCCATACCTCAGGCCCAAATTAAAATGTGGCTGCGTGATAGAACTCAAAAATTACACTTGACAGAGTGAACTTGGAAAACAGGTGAAGGATGCCGGCAAACGAAAAACGCAGTTCCGGTGGCAAACAAGAGACTTGCATGCACCCTTACCAGACTTAATAGGGACAAACTCCGCATAATTATAGGAACCCTAACTGGTCATTGTCCATCAAACATACACTTATATACAATAGGAGTAACAGACAGCCCCCTATGCAGAGGATGTATGGAGGCAGAAAAAGCGCCACAGCATGTCATCATGGAATGCGGGGGCGTGGCCGACCAACGACTTCTTCAATCACCAGCATCGCCTCTGGAAGTTTGCAGCAGTCTGCCAAAGCTGCTTTTCTTTTGGACTAACCTAGGCTGGTTGGAGTAAACGCGAAAGTTTTCAAGACCCGCACAATGGTCCAATGATTAGGACTAAGTGCGGAAACCGCCCTGAAAAACTAAAAACTAAAACCCATGCATCCTGTGAATGCGGTGCAAGGTAAATTGGATGCTTTGACTTAATAAATTAATGCTATTGTGCTGAGCAAGCATACGTGAATTGGGTTACATCCCGTTGGTAATTATATAAGTGTAACCCACATGTTTGGAAAGGCGACGTCGTCCATTATTCGAAGCGCTCAGAATAATGCCTCCGCCATAATGATTATAATACGAAGAAAGCTCTATACAAAGAAACGAATTAGCATTGTTCCATGATGTGACCTCTTTAGTTGCTAAAACTGAGTTCCTTGTTGTGATAAAAGATTACGAGAAACAGTAGTTTTGACATTGCAGTTCACATCTTCTTTTCACGAGGAGCAAGGGTGCAACGAATAACCCCTTTCCACTTGATGTCAAGTGTATGTGGAGTGAAGACGAGAAGATAGACGGTGATAGAAGATAGAATCCTCCTTGCCGGCCTGAAAACAATCGCCTACTCCGCGGAGCTCTGGAACTCTACTCACCAGCAGAAACACAACACCACCAAAATGTAGTGATATTTCACTATGGTCTTTTATAAAGAAAATATTTATTAAAAGCATAATCTCCTGGTATTACATATCGTAACTTAACAATAATAATAATTAACAAATATACTATTATCTAATACTAGCTTAAAACAAAAAGAAAACTATAACGAAGAACCTAAAACTATAAACCTTACTAATAAAATATAATAACTAAAATAGATTATTAAAAGGAGTCCCTTAAGGCAAGGTTCCGAAGATACTGGCAGCGTTCCCCCTTTGGATAGCTAGACTAATTCTTTGTCCGAGGTAGCTTCCAGCTCTTCGGTCTCCTGTGATGTCGACTAATCTTTTTGCTATTTCTTTAAAAAGCCTTATAGCGCTAGGACCCTACGGAGTAAGGGTCTCGACACCGAATGGGGCAAAATCATATTCGGAGCCTAGACCCCTATATTTGCCTTAGCTTTTTCAGCCGCTTCAAAAGCCGCACCAGCTCTGTTGTTGGTTCCATGTAAATGGGAAGGGGCCAGCGTGTCTGAACAGTTTGCATCCCATACTAGCACTCGACCCATCTTCCATGGAATCAAATTCATACCGCCTGGTCTCTTGCCATCGTCTCTTGCAATACCAGTTGGCTCAAGTAGACTTGGCACGTTGACGGTGGCAAGGGACCGTCGTATGGTCGTATATATATATCTTTAAGTGCGGCATGTCTCGAGAAACGGCCTGCACTTTTGTAAAGTGGAGGTTGCTTCCCCAGAAGGCCTCTCCATTCCGCTGTGCTTAGGGTTGCCTGGCGCTGGCTTATCAATTCCGGGACATCCCCTCCCCCCCCCCCTCCCTCCCAAGAAATAAAACATCACATCTAAATATAGGTCAGTAACGAATGCCTTTATAATATGGCATGCTTCTGTCGCCCCTCGTATGAGTATAGTAATATTGTGAAAAAATCTGATGTTTTGGAATTCCGGGACAATAAGGTCTAATTACTGGACACGGGACAAGACGCGAAATTCCGGGACAATCCGGGATGTCCCGGCCATCTGGCAACCCTTGCTGTGCCCCTCCTCTATTTAAAACTCCAAACAAATGCAACTCAGAAATGATAAAATAAATATTCATGAATCGAAATCATAGTAATCGCTATATTATAAAAACGCCATGAAAAACTGAAAGCTGTAAGTATCTTAGAACAAAGTGGACATTTAAAAAAAAGAATGAGAAATTACTTATAAATCTCAGAAAGAAAAAAATATCGACTTGATGTGATAGATAAATCAAAATAATAATTATATGGAAAGCTTTTAACGGTAGCGTGTGTTAGGCGGTTGGGCGGTTGACACGTTCCATACAATGAAGTGGAATCGATATCTTTGAATAGAGCCTCCTCCGCCGACCGACGTTTGTCGCCGCTTTAGGGTTGCCCACCATCATCAGCCTATTAATATCGCCACTGTTGGGACACCAGCCTTCCTTATTGATGGTATAGGGAGATTGGTCCATGACCCACCAGGCAAGCCCGATGCAAATTGGTGGGTGGACGACTACAGATGTAGCCGGTACCGGAGAAAGCACGGAGGAGCTCCAGATAATAAATTTTTGGTTACTCATCCGATGACACATTGCAAACCGAACGCGCTATCTACCTGCGCCAGCGAGATCCTCACCTCACTTACCAAATTCTAAATTTAATATCGTTGTTGACACTATTTGAATTCGGCCGCCCGTTTGGGGCAAGTAACCGCCATATTATATACACGTTCTTCCAGCGGTGTTGTGTTTCTAAGTTTAAGGCTTATAACTTTCCCTACCAAGAGCCATGAGGCTCTTAGTCTAAGGCCCTTATTACACATGTGGCGGCGACATCTATATGCCCCACATATATTTACGGATGGAGGAAATCATTACTCACCATCCTCAAGAGATGGCGTTACCTGCACTGCGATCTTAATAGTATGGAAGCCTACATCGCGCAAATGAAATTCGGAGGCTAACTCTTCATATATATGATGATGTATCGCGGCCCCCGAGCTACCATCACCCAGCTCGGAGGAAGATCTTCCCATTTGGCTTTCCTACACAGAATTACAACTAAGTGATGACCTTTACTTGAGTACAGTAAGAAAGGGATATCGCTTTGTGCTATATATAGCGACATCCCTTTCTTACTATACTCAAGACTAGATCAATCACTGAGAATTTTTCTATAATACGGGCCTTAGTGGTACGGCGGGCTGTTTCCACAACTCGACACCAAGTGCTTATGTTGCGTGGGGATTGGCATCAGTCCTGCTTTCCCAGCTCCTCCAGAAAGTCCAGCAGTCCACGTTGCTGCAGTCCTCTACTCGTGTCCTGCCATGTGGCTCTAGTAGGAGCTTTATAGGCCGGCAATGTGACTGCATCGTCACACCTCAGGAAACTAGATCCTGTACCTACTCTTGCAACTGCACAACCCTAATTAAATAAAAAGAATTTAATATTGGTTAAAGAACTATGTTTAACACCCACGTGTGTAGACGCCATCGAAAACTGTTATTTTTCTAGACTTTGTGAATAAAAACCATTGAATAGAATGTCGTCATAAAGCTAGCCATTATTACAGTGACAAATGATTTAACTAAACCTTTTCGGTTATACGTTAATGACTAT